TACTCCATTTGTTATAAAAAATATACGGAAAATAGGACGGATGAGTATGATATACGGAAAAAAGTAATAAGAATATAAGAATATTTGACCAAATAGAATATTATATTGTTTGTGTATTAATAATCTTAAACTCATAAGCTCTACTTTTTTACAAAGATGATATATAGAAAGTTGTTTTGAATTTTGTTTTGGAGAATGATTTTAAATTTGTATTTGAGTAATAATGAGTAATAAAAAAAACCTTGAAGATCAAACAATTAAATTGTGGTGACTGAATTTTAGACTTGGAAACAGAATTGCAAGGTCATAGAGTCGCAATATATGGAGTATGATTGATTAAAAAAAGTTGTGAATTGGCCGTATGATTGATTAGGTATTTTAGAATTGTTAAAAAGAAACTCTAGAACTGGCCGTTATTGCTCTGCGTTTTTTTAGTTGTGAATTCATTTCATCATCCACGTGTTATCTTCCTAAAAATCCCACTTCTTTCTCTATTTCTTCCACGTGGCTTCATGCCTTTTTTTCTAAATAAATGAAATTAATTCACACAACTTAAAAAACACAGAGCAACAATCGTCAGTTACATTCTAGAATTTTCTTTTTAATCATTCTAATTCTATTTTTTTAATGCGAGCAGACACATATAAATTCATATATTTCTAGTAATAATATTTTAAATATGACTATTTATTAGTTATTTTAAAAGTCTACTCCATTTAAAATCTACTCCATAACTCAACTTCACATGACTATTTATTAGTTTTGTTTAAAAAATTACTCCATGGTTATTTAAAATAAATGTAAATATAATTTTTAAAACCTTTTCAAAGACTTATTAAAAATAAAAAAAAAGTTAAGATAAATATATAAACTTTTAAATTCAAATCTTTAATGATAATTTTACGTCTTAACAATTAATTGCAAACAGTTAAGTTACTAACATTTTATTTCAAATGCTAATGAAAGCGGTTAGTTATAAAAGCTCACGGAATTTGCTATTAAGCTTGTTTGGATTTCAGCGGATGGAGCAAACCGCCATTAGGAATTGTTTTACTCATATACTCCGCATTAGGAATTATATATTTATTTGATACAGAATAATATATTTCAAGGTTTGAAAATAGGAAGATTATTTATGAAATATTCAGATTTTTTCTAACTTTATATATGCAATATTGATGTCATATGAAAGATCATAAAAAATGATGAATTTTGATAATTTTTTAATGAAAATTAGAGAAAAAATGAAAAAGATAAAACAGTTTAAAGAAAATAGTATTTTTATATGTGATGGGTCCCATTAATTAATACTCACTTAATAGATGCCATGTTTGTTAAGGCATAAAAAACGTTACTTCACTGTGAGGAAGCCACATGGCATTAGTATATCAAAGGAGAAAAATTAGGATTGAGTGACATGTATGCTTATGTAGGGGTAAAATAGTATTTGGATGAGCTATTTGTTTTCTTATATATAATATAATAAATAGATATAAGAGCACCCCCTCAAATTATTGTCTGTAAATTTCCTAATGATTTAATGTTTGATTAGGGTCGGGGTGTGGGGGTGGACCAGCAATATCGATCATTCGACCTTTTAGCGAGTGCAATGTTTTGAACATGCATGCAGTACGTGCACGTACTTCAACCTTAATATATTGTGTCCGCCCACCCCAGCTAGCTTTATACGTACAGTTGTTTAATTCCCTACTTATGAATTACTCGATCTTTCACTACATAAAAAGTCATTTTTCCAAAGTACAAGTTCATCATTAATCATACTACCATGCTTAGAATTAAATTCAAAGCTAACATAATGGTTTACTAATCTTGGTTGTTGAGATATTTTGGCTGACCTTTTTGGAATGACTTTTCTTTTGAATTTTAAGCACAATGTCGAGTCAAGCAATCGATTTCAAATAATATACATTTGGACTGGTATGGGATGATTGGCTGTCCATAAAGAAAAGCCGGCAGCGGGCCACTGAAATATGCCATTTCTGGTTTACAAATTGGAAAGGGTGATGCTTCTTAGGCCAGAAACTCTAATATCGGGTGCTATATAGACTCAAGTGGATGGATGGTTTAAATAATTTGAATGCTGTCATACCCTACTAATAACCTTTTTGTAAGACGGTACGCTACAAAAAAACGGAATTGGCAGGGATTTTTAATTTTTTGCATAGGTGCGTCAAAATTTATAGAGGTGAGGGTTTGGTGCGGTATGTCAAATTAGTGTTAACAAGAGTTATTAAATTGGAACGAAATCATTGATCAATCTGTGTCAAATGTGCATGTATTAATTGTTCATATACAATTGATATATACTTCGAATGAACTGCGCACTTGCATCTCGGTGAACACAAAGGTCACACAGAGAACCACTCCTTTCACTTTAATGCAAAAATTAAAATTAATTACATTGACTCGCACTTTTTAAAAGCGTGCATAAATTAATTAACCACCAACAATTATTTAATGCAACATGGAGTAGCCATTAGTCAATCGACTCGTGAGTTGCACGAATAACGGGTGAAAATAATTTATTTCATGGGAAATGTATATACACATACTTATGAAAATTAAAACATGCATGATAATTACTAGAAAAACATGCACCAATTAATACGGAGTATAAAATTACCATAAAAAATCTGTCATCCTCAATTTATCTTATTTAATTAATATAGATACAGTACAATCGTTAATATATTACAATCTCTTATAATTTAATCATAAATATGTTAGTTATTCTATACATTGCATATTACTATCTCTCGGGGACTTGATATACGTAACTGGAGAAACTAAATACACCAGAAAATATTAAGAGATAGTCGAAAATAATCAAAAGCAATAAGTTTAGTAGTATTTAGAGATATACACTGATAGAGTATTAATCTTATAAAAAGTGAGATCTAGAGAGAGAAGGTGAACAATTAATATTTCTCAACCCTCTATAACTACCTCTAGGGGGCTATTTATAGGGGGAAATGTGGATTTGGGCTCTCAGGTCTTAGGCCTGGGAGGACCGATACAATATAAGGCCTCTAATGGGTTGAGTACATGATTTCTAGAGCTAAGTATGAAGTCTAGTCTACTAGAGTCTTTTTGACCGACGGAGGACAAGGCCGATGGAGGGCATGGCCGACGGAGGACCCGTCTTTTGTTCCTGAGCTTCTGGGTTGTATCCTGCGATCCACTGAGTTCGGCCGATGAAGGGCCATCTGGCCGATGAAGGGCCACGTGGGTGCCAGCTGTCTTTGTGCTTAATCCTCTGAGTATGTGGGCCATTGGGTCTGGGCCCATATACTCTATCATAAATGTATTCAACTTGATCATTTTTGCAAGAGTTACATGGCTTTATAAAACAAAAATGGGACAACAAATCAACAATCATTCTGACGACGTGGTCACCATGCCTGAATTTACGTGCTATCATTCCGTGATTTGCAAGACCGATGTGAGTTACCTCGTGATCTGCAAGATTTATTGTTGGCCATGTGCTTCCTGGAAGTAGCAACATGCATGTGTAATAATGAAGGCGATTGCGCACCACGCTCGTAGTGGCGTGCCATGCCCTGGTGAGACTAGTAGCAAGCCGATCACGTTGAGGTAAGGTTAGCACCATGTCGTGCTCAATCTGCTCGGTTCTTGTAGAGATCATATATCGTCATGTTATTCTCCATGTGTTATGCCCTTGTGGTGGTAACATTGTGTTATGCTCAACATCTCATATCCAAATCTCCTTGTAGAGGTAAGACCATGATATGCTCAGTATGTGTTTTAGCAAAATTTTGATAAACTAAAACTAATTAGAATAGAAATTGTATATTGATCGGGTCTCGTACAAGAATGGTAAAGAAAATGACAAGAACTACAAGAAAGATGTCAAATGAACGAAATAGAGTGTAATTTTGAATGTTATTCGAATGAGTGGCCTCCTTTTACAAGTGAGCTCGATACTACTTATAGGAAGGATAATTAATGTATTTTTGTCCGTTGTTGACGGTTTCGACCATTATGGCGACATTCAAAGTTGCCATGATGTCATCATTAATATCGGTCAGCCATTTGAGTAACTCTTGTCTTAATTACAATAATGGCTATAATAATACACACAAAACCGTTATAATAATTAGCTAGCATGAACCCTAATGAATGTGTCATTAAGTGTCGTGGTCAAGCCTCTGGAATGCTCTTGAATGTAGAATAAGTTGTCAAATTCTTGCACCAACAATTGCCCCCTTTCAAGAAATTGAGGCGTATCATACACATGTCAACCTATTAAACATCAAGTTGTCAAAAATTTGCAAGTACACTTCACATCTTGGTTCATTGCATCTATTATTGGCTCGTCACTGACTTGACGCGACGTATTGATCAACTCGTCTGACGAAATGTTGTCGTCTTTCTAGAGTAACTTCCTGTCGAATCCGTCTCTTTGACTAAAACAGTGAAGACTGAAAGCTGACACTTTGTCTTCTTCCCTCCGAAATTGTGATGACGACTAGATGGCAGAAATTTGCAACTTTTCATAACGATGTCCACACATCAGCCAGCAAAGGGAACATCGTCTTTCACTGAATAAGATGAGTTGGGTTGCGTGAATGTGGTCCATGTGACACCGCACCCGGATGTACTTGAATTTAAAATTTGGTATGTGTTTGAATTTTTAAAGCGAATAATTTCGTGTAAAAGAATGTGATATTTAATTCATGCGTGATTAATTAAATTATTTATCAGACCCATGATATTGAGAATGGGCTACCAAATAATTAGTGGAGTCATCGTAATAATTATAGAAGCCCAATAATTATAGAAGCCCAATAAAATACTTGGGCAACCCAAGTGCTATTTTGACCCAACCTGCCAGAAATAGCAGGAATAATTGGGAGGGATTTCCTATACCCACTTGGGGTATTCCACCTACTAATTAGACCCAAATAAATGGGAGTAGGATAAGAATGAGGGGGATGATGCTGATGGAAGAAAGGGGG